GATTAATTTCTTTCTATTTTTAGTAGAGACGGGGTCTCGCTCTTGCTCAGGCCGGTTTCGAACTTCTGAGTTCAAACAACCCGCCTGCTTCGGCCTCCCAGAGTGCTAGGATTACAGGCATGAGCCACCGTGCCCGGCCTGGCTGTAAGTCTTTTGACCCACTGAGGGACAGGATGGAACCGGGGCAGGCAGCTGCACCACCCTGGCAATGACCAGACAAAATGAAAGTTTGGTCATCAGTGAAAATCCTGCTTCTGGCAAATCTTGGCCAAAAAGACAAAATGCAAACCCCTCTGACTGAACACACAACCTCTTAGTCAAGGGGACCCCGGAAAAACCTTAACACGGAGTTGTAAGAGGTCAGACACACCTTGTTATACTCCCCTGCTTTTGGAGTTTAACATTAATGTTAACATAGAAATCGTAAGACTGAAAAAATGGCCTCCGTGACAATAAGATACCAAATTTAAAAACAGAACCTAAGGCCATTTCAGACAAGGATTAAGGTGCTGTCCTAAAACTATACATAAAGATGCTCAGATCATAGTATATTGCAGCCCGCAGGATGCAGGCCCAGCACCCAATTCAGATTCCCCCAGGAGCCCGGCTGACCCTGAAGTAGGGGTAAGCCTGTTTGCAGTTTAGTCCACGCAGGCGCCGCCTGCGCAGTCTTGAACACCCTCAGAGAGAAACTCACTCACTGAGATTACAAAATTTTGAGGGTATCAGAAAAGGCAACAAACAGTCCCTTTATTGGCCTGCTTCATCCCCTTCCTTGGCTCACTGGCGGCAGTCCTGCTTTCCTTGCTTCTTGGGCCTTACATTATTAACCTTTTGGTGAGCTTTGTTAGTGAAAGACTGAAAACAATTAAGATGCAGATAGACCCTCATCCTTCAGCAGCCCTCAAGAATGGGAGCAAATAGAAGAGGATTTCTCACCAGGACAGAGCCAGCAGCGGGAGGGTAGGGGGTGGGGGGAGGGATTAAAACACAAAGAGGGTTTTAGACCAAGCCAAATGACTACACAAGCTTAACAACCCTGCTGCTCAAAACATGAGACTCCATTAAAGTTTGTCTCCTTTCTGTTACTTGTTCCTTCCCTCACTGGGACCAGTAATGTTCCACCTATTATAATACGATCACTTTTGGTCCCTGCTTTTTTAACTTACTAATAAAGTGTCCTCCAGGTCCCAAGAGTGAAGTTGGTGGCGGCACAGGGGTTCCAATCTATACCGTCTGTTGAAGACTCCTATAAATCATTAGACCAGTCAGCGTGAGATTTTTACCATCTCCAGATGTCAGTAGGGACAGTAGGGACCCTTGTTATGGTCCAGAGTGCGAGAAAAGACCACCTAAGACCGAAACTGTGCCAAATTGTGAGTCGTTATTAGCTGGCCAGCGACTGCCCTCTGCATGGCTGTGAGGCAGCTGCACAGACAGCGGTCCCAAGCCAGGGGAGCAGGGCTCTTTTACAGCGCAAACCACACAGTGGAAATTTACTGGGTTAAGCAAGCTCGGTTACAGAAGTTAAAAAAAGTGTTAGTCCTAACCATGATAGAATCTTATCTTGGGAAGGCTCCATAGCTTTTAGGTGGGTATCCTGGGAGTCACAGGTTACAGCTACAATTTAACTCTGAAGTAAGTATAACAACATTAATCTTAGTAAAATACATTTTACATCCCGTTATCTAAGCCAGAGCACATTCCACACACGAGGCACTGCTGGGTGTCTCAGTGCTCCAGGGCGTTTTGACCCTCTGGACCAGGCCACTATTTTATTTTGTGGACGGCTGTGTGTAAGGCACCATCTTTCCCCTTACATTTTTCAGTATACTAACAGAAGCGAGATGGCAGGTTCCGAGTCAGATGAGGGTCAGCTGAAAATTTTTCACTCTCCTAAGCAAGCAAGCAAGCATAATACAGAAGACCTAATGGCTGGTTATTTGCTGCCTATGGTCCCTAGGTCCTAACACCCTATTAAGCAGGAACCAATTCCAGAAGATGAGATCTTGGGCCCTTCTCCTTAAGAATCAGGAGGGTGAAATTTCTCAGGGATAATGAGACAGTCCAAGGACAGGACTAGGGCCTCACTTCTGACCAATGGGCCAACATGGGACAGCATGATCAAGCCTAGTGAACTGAAGAAGAAAAAAACAAAAACAAAAACAAGACTTCCTATCTGCTGGAATTCAGCACAAACCCACATAAGGGGGGGCAGTAAACCCTGTGTCTAGTGAAAGTATTTTCTGAGGCCACTGAAACAAAATGCTGACAGTAGCTGATAAGGAACCTGGCTGCAAAGAAACCAGACCTATCTGGATCTGACCACCTCAAGCCAAAAAGAACCCCACACTGCCCTTACCCTGCCTTTCCCCTCGATACAATCTCATTCTGATGCTAAAAATCATGCAGCGAGTGGAGATTCAACATGCAGTTGAGACATGCCAGGTGTGAAGCACCATGTAATAGAACCAGGCAGGCGCAAGAAAATCTCCACCTCTGTGTGCTTACATGTCACCCTTTTCCAGCCTAAGCCCCTTCAAAACTCCCCCTGAACTCCCCTCCAGGAGGCAGCCTGAGGACTTTCCCTCCCTGTGCCCAGCCTGAGACGTCCCTCTGCTTCTTGCTCATTTCTCTTGCACAGAGAGCCCAAGGGCCTGGGCCACTAAACACCCTCCTGTGCACCATCTTTTCTCCTAACAATTGTTTCGCTCCAACCAAAGTGACTTCACAGCCTCTTGCTGAGATCCCAAGGTCTTCCTGTATAAGGTCTTTTTTTTTTTTTTTTTATGTTGGCAATTCTTGCCCAGCACTACTGACTCTTACCATGTTACATCCTACCTGGTCACTATATGTGCCTTATAAAAATTATTTATATGTTCTAATGTTAGGGAAATTTCCATGCATACTAGGGGAATTTCTGTGCTGATTCTGCTTAAAACCACAAAGCAGCTAAGTAGACACTGACACCTGTCAGCCTTGCAAGCAAAAACCGCAGCAGTTGAACAAAGCTACAAGCCTGCCATGATTACAATATTTGTTATAAGCCTATCGTGATTCTAATGTTTGTTATAAGCCTATCATAATTCTACTACTTGTAAGAATTATTATTTATTGGATAACTTTTAAATCTTTTTGCTAATTGGTTAATCATTTATACTTGTGTGTGATTTGTTAAGAGTAACTCCACCCAAAAAAGTATAAAACCTGACAAAAACCCGGAAGAGGTGCTCAGAATTTGGAGACTTGTCTCCTCTGGGCCCGCTGGCGTTAAGAGATTAAACATTGACTCTCCAACTCTCTGCGTGCCACTCAGTTATTCCCCTGGGACCGGTCACTGACACTTGCCTTAACACTAGTGCTGTATCTAGCACTCCCCCGAGGAATACCCAGGGATAGAGCAGGAAGGGAAAGTAACAGTGCTCCTGCGCCCCCTCCCCTCTCCCTGTGAGCTCACAGGAAGAGGACATCAATCCACGTTCAGTCCCGCCTTCCCAGGATATGACTCAGCTAGATAACTCAGAAGCTACACTTTCTTGTTGTTAGTTTGTTTTTTAGCTTTTCTCCCATAGGGGTTGCCATTTTAGAATCCAGTAGTACAGAGTAATTATATAACAAGCTAGGATCATGGGAGTAAAATAACCAATGCTGATTATGAAATCCACCACTCTGTTGTTTAAACAGAATTATCATAGCCATGGAACTGGCCCACATAGTGGAAACATTAAGTCTATGCAAAAAGAAAAAAAAAAAGCCTTTTGCCAGGGTAGCCATGGGAACATTCAATCTGGCAAATAGAAGGAATTTGCAATTGCTGTTAGACTAGAAACAAGACAGCTGAGAAGGGCATCATCATTCTCAACCTCCTAAGTTTCTCTAAGATGCAAGTCCACAGCACTTGTTTTACTATCCTGTGCATGTAGATTCACTTGCAATTTTGAGACTTTAAACCCTGCTCAGCCTTTGGTTCCACAAACATTGAACAAGTAACAGGAGGAGGAGGAAGAAGAGGATGGGGGGGAGAAGAAAGATGAAGAGGAAGGAGATAGAGGAGGAGAAGGGGAAAAAGCACACCTCTTGGTACCCTATTGCAAAGTATTAATAATGCGTATGAACAATAAGCTAACATAGATGTAATCAAATATGTACATGTAAATTTAGAGCCTAATCAGCAGGCGTCGATACCCCCTATTTAACTGTGTAACAAAAGCTCCGACAAATGCATGGCGGCACAGATTGCCCCTACCTTGTCACTCTCACTTTTCTAACACCATCAAAGTCACTGCCTTTGTTTTCTAAATTCCTGAATCTTATTTTTGGTTACAGTCATGTCCTTCACAAACTACTAAACAATGCTTGAATTGGCTCCTGAGCACACTAAGAAGGCACAATAAGAACATAAAGTACACACACAAACTAACACATTTAAACACGCTCTCCTAGTGAAGCAGACACAAGAACATTTAGGAAGATTCCTAAGGTCGGTACTAACCTAATTAAGTCCTGGCTGCGTCTCTAGAGGTTCAGCTCCTCCAGGCCAGCTCCTGAGCTGTGTGCCAGCTACTTAAATGCTGGGACACTCCTGCCTGCTGAGCTGGGCGGGCCCAACAGGGAACAGCCACTCCCACAGCCTTGAAGGCTGCAGAGCTCCATGCTAGACTAACAAGCAAGACAGTCAACAGTGTTTCATTTCAATGTTACCCAAAAATGCACAGCAAGGGATTTCAAATCTGTTTGGCTGCCTCAGAAGTTCCCTCCGACCAGCCTTCTTTGAACACTGTTTAAGGAGGATCTCATTAAACAGGCTGCAGGTTTAGGGCAGAAGAGAAACCTTGTCGGGGGAGGAGGACAGTGCCATAAGAGGGTGTTGTCAGGTAAGGGGAATGGAGAGAGAGAATGGGGAGATTGCACCTAGTGTGTAAAAAGGACTCAATGATGAATGCTGTTGCAAAAGTCTGCAGGCTGGAAGAATCCAGCAAAGTTGTCCTAGCCCTGAGTGTGAAAACCTCAGCTGTGTTACCTGGGGTCACTGGCGGATCCTTGTCTGTGGGGAACATGTTGGCCTTTCTCTCTAGCCCAAGGCCCTTGGTGCACCATTTCTTCTGCCTGGAACATGCTGTTCTCCCCTCCTCCCAGGCATCCCCTCCTTCCTCTGTCCTATCACTCTTCCCACATTCTGTGTTCAACGTCCGCTTTTGTCCTGCTCACCGTGAGCTCCTGAGGGCAGGGCTCCCCTGTCCCCGTGGCTGACCACAGCGCCCAGCATATGGCAGGGGCTCAATGCGTATATGTGATTTCTCTATTTCTAATGGAAATTGTCTAACATATACAAATGTGGAGAGAACAGTGCAATGAGCTTGATGTACACATCACCTTGCTTCAACAATCGTCACAATATGTGAAGCAAACGCCAGACTTTGTCTTATTTCATCAATAAATAATTTAATGTGTATCTTTGAAACCCTTTTTTGTAATTATTTACATTACAAAAAATTGCAAAACTGGTACAAAGTTCCCAAATACCCTTCACCGAGTGTCCTCTAATGTTAACATCTTACATAACCATAGTACGATGATCAAAACCAGGAATTTAACACGGATATAACACTTTTAACTAAACTGCAGACCTTACTGTGATTTCACCAGTTTTTCAACCAATGTCCTTTTTTGAGTCCAAGATCCCATCCAGACCTCACACTGTATTTAGTTGTCGTATCTCCTTAGTCACCTTCAATCTGTGTCTTTCCTCTCTTTCATGATTGTGACACTTTTGAAGACTCCTGGTGAGTTATTTTGTGGAATATACGTCAGTTTGGGTCCATGTGCTGTTTTCCCATGATTCAATTATGATTATACATCTTTTGCAAAATATCACAGAAGTCATGCTGTTCCCTTTTCAGGATACCATTTCCAGAAAGACTATCATATCCATGACTTCGTATGTAATTAATTCTTTCTCAAACAACCAGCTCCTAGGCCCCTGCCCCAGTCACATCCACCCTGCAGCTCTGGAGTCCTCCTAATTAGGAGAGCTAGGGAGGGGTAGACTTGCTCTCTACCAGGGGAAAAGGAATGCTGGCTGCAGCTGCCTGTTAGATTTACAAAGTCTGGGGATTCTCCACATTCCTGTGGCTATTGTTTAACAAGCCTAAGTTTTACATTAACTACATTCTGTCCCATACATAATTTTGGGGTTCCCACCTGGAACAAAACTAACACTATCCAGCTTCTTTACCTTGCCAATTTGTTTCAAATGGTCAAATATTGTTGAAATAGTAACATCAAACCTTGCTGCCATTAATAATTCATGCATAGGTTGAGATTGATTTGCTTCCACTACAGGTTTCAGCTCATCATTTTCCACTTTGGTCTCAGGTCGTTCACATGGCTTATTTTCAAGATTAAACTCACCAGAATGGAACTTCTCAAACCATCGATGTACTGTGAGTTCATTAACCACATCCTTCCCAAACACTTCATTGATATTTCAAGCTATCTGCGCTGCATTGATTTCATGACAGAACTCATATTTGAAAATAACATGAATTTTTGACTTAACCATGGTTTACCAAAAATTGCTCTAAAAACAACTTCGAAATATAATCACAAGCCAAACCATAGGTTTGAAAGAATAAGGATGTAACTTCACGATAAAAATAAAAGAAGTGTCAAAGTGAAACGTCAGCGATATCAACTGTCGAACTCAGTACTTAAGGAAATCAGACATTTCACACATAATAACCTAACATTATTACTATTAATAAATATCTTATGGGAGATACTTTGTGAATATGCAAACACTGCTTCACACTAAGCTTCTGCAAGTGCACCCCATGGGCCATTGATGCTTTCGGTTTGTTCTGTCTGAAAAGTTTAGAATTAACCTGCTGTGTGCTCACGCAATTGCCAGGCCAATATTAGAAAATGACCTTAAGGGAAAACAGATCAAGAGTCTGGCACAGGCCAACCGCAAACACGCGTTTGCAAGTCCCACCAGATGACCTATTGTTTGCTGCTAACTATCCAGCAAGTCACTGTGACTTGCACAAATCCTGCTTTCTCTGCCAACCCCCCTTATCCCTTTCCTTTATAGGTTGCTCAGTAAGCAGAAGAGATGAGATGGTCTTTTGAGACAGTAGCCCACCACCTCCCCAGGCTGCCGGTACTTGAATAGAGCACCTTTCCTTCAGCAACACTAGCCTGTCCTGTCTGGCTCGCAGGTGCAGGGCAAGCAGAACCTGCGCTTGGCAACACGTCCATCCTCTACCTGTAGCGTCCATTATGGATCTGACGGTGATTAGAGTTTGTTAGACCACTGCTCCAGCTTTGGCCTGTGGGAGCCCCTTCAGGTTGGTCTCTGTGTCCTTTATGACAAGCCCTCTCTTTTTGGGGAGCATTTCCAGAGATTTTCTGTGCCAATGATGTTCCAAGCTTTTCTTGTATTTTCTTTGCCCCGACCCTGAAGTCAGCCATTTTTCCAAAGATCCTTGTTTCCTTCTGTTGGGGAAGATATTTTAAAACTAGGATCTGATCACCATGTATTGTTAGGTTTGCTCCAGGTGGGAACCCAAAAAGTATGTGTAGGACATAATGCAGTTAAAGCAAAACTTAGGCTGGTAAAACAATAGCCCCAGGAGTCTGGAGAGTCCCCAGACTTTATAAATCTAACAGCTACAGCCAGCATTCCTCCCCTCCTTCCCAGATAGAATGGAAGGCTGTCCCTCCCTAGCTCTCCTGATAAGGACAAGGCCAGAGCTGAAGGATGGATGTGACTGGGACAAGGGTCCTAGAAGTTGGTTATTTGCAAAAAATTTATTACAAGCAGATGTTTTGGCCCACTTACTTACTCCCCCCGAGAAACCCTCAATAAAACCCAACGCTCTCCCCTTTTTTCTCATGGATGCTTTTTCGCCTCCATCCATCTGCACCCAGATACTCAAAATAAACAGCATTTTCCCACACACGAGGCTTCGTGTGTCTCTCTCTCGCCTCCGGACCTAACATGTATGTGCACTGCTTCTGGGATTTTAATGTTCCTAAGCTCTCCCCAGTAGGAAATATGTGTATGTATGTGAAGGAACTCAGGGAATTTCACCCCAAAATATGAGTCCTTGGTATAAAGAATATTTTGAATATTCTTAGAGATCAGCAGAACTTGGAAGGGGCTTTCCCCCTATCTTCATAAAAACTGGAAGGACCCATTAAGACGAACAATTGTCTTTCCTTCCCCATCTCTGTTTTCTCCATATCTACTGCAGGAAAGAAGACCAAGAATGCAAAATCAGTGTTAGATCTGGCCCAACCCCTTTAAAAAATAATACCCCGTCTCTCAGGTTAAGTTTATATCCAAAGAGAATCATTTATGAGTCAATCTGTTTCCTTCCCCATCCGTGCATTCTCCCAAGTATCTATTCATCCTCCCTGGTAACCATTTATTTTTTTATCTTTTTTATTCTTTTTTTTTTTTGAGACAGAGTCTCGCTTTGTTCCCTGGGCTAGAGTGAGTGCCGTGGCGTCAGCCTAGCTCACAGCAACCTCAAACTCCTGGGCTCAAGCAATTCTTCTGCCTCAGCCTCCCGAGTAGCTGGGACTACAGACATGCGCCACCATGCCCGGCTAATTTTTTCTATATATATATTTTTAGTTGTCCAGATCATTTCTTTCTATTTTTGTTTTTAGTAGAGACGGGGTCTCGCTCTTGATTAGGCTGGTCTCGAACTCCTGACCTTGAGCGATACACCCGCCTCGGCCTCCCAGAGTGCTAGGATTACGGGCGTGAGCCACCGCGCCCGGCTCCTGGTAACCATTTATTGCCCCTCAACAGAATTACCTATATTCCTCATCTCCTCCTCCCCTCTAAAATGAGTGTATATAAATTTCTGGACCCCACTGGGATATTGGGTAATCACTTTGTGATTCTACTCGTGCACATGACCAATAAATTTGTAATCTCTTTTCTTATTAATCTGCCTTATTGTGAGTTGATCTTTCAGTGCACTTTCCCCGGGGTGAAGGGGAAGTTTTCCCTAACCCCCCCACCCCATATATTATCCCCCCCACACACACACAACTATACACTTTAAACCTCTTTCTCTGACAAGTGAGAAACCTGGCTCAGATTATCTAAATTTATCTAAAGGGAAAATCAAAGTCTCAGGGCCACCCTCCCCACAATTCCTTACACAAAAGAGAAGGTAAAGGCCTTGGGCACCTGTGAAGAACTTGTCCTACAGATCATTCAGTAAGAAAATTCCTTGCTGACCTCCCGTAAGCAGGGACATGCAAATTGTACCTATGTCTAGCTCCTACAACTAGAGCCTACCAGATTCCACACTAATAATTAATTACAAGTTTATCTTTACAGGTAACAGAACTGGAGACAAGACTGCATCGGACATTCTATAACCGGCTCTATGAACAAATCTCAGTGACCCCTATATGTTTTTCTATTACTGGAGTTCCCACAGAGAGTGCAGGGAAGTGTGGAGCATCACGGCTCTGCGGGGCACCTCCAAGCGGAGGATGAGCTGGAGGCCCGGGACCGGCCATGGCCTGT